AGATGCACCAGCTGACTCCGTCCCCTACATTATTACAGCAGTTCTCTGATCACACCCCTTTCCTTGTCCTCCCTGTTCTTGAAACACTCCTTGCACCCAGGGTCAGGTGTGGGCAGTAATGCAGCTGCTGGATAAGACCAGCTTTTTGCCAGCTGAAAGCTCCTGTAGGAAAATTCTCAAATTGCCAAATCCAGCTGCTTTTCAGACCTATGTACCATCACAGAGTTCAAATGGTGCAGATCATGGCAGATCCAAGCCCAGCTAGTCTTACTTCTTGCAATTTTCCAAATGAGTCAGGCTATCTGGTACCATGGGGATATTTTGGTGTATTGTCATCTTCCAGGCACTTTGGGTGCTCAGAAACAGTTTATATTTAGCAATTTTATCAAAGTCTATGTAGTGCAATAATCCCTAATCTACTTGAGCAAGTCAAAGGAAAGAATTGTAAAAAAAATGATGTCAGTATGCTTATTTTTTTCTGCTTTTTAAATATATTGATTTCTTAACACTTCATTTTTTCTCAATAGCATAAAAGTAATGTCCTGACAATGGAGATAATAAAAAATTGTTTCCATATTATGCTGTTCAGAGACATTGTTCAATTGGTTATCCTTAACCAATTTGACTGTTAAGAAAGAGCCAGATCTTCTGGTGAGTGTCACTTATGTGGTATCAGTGGGAGTTGATGGCACTTTGAGTGATTGGCCTCACAATTCAGTAGCTGCCTCTTAAAGCTCATTACAGAAACGTTGGGGGGTAAACCTCCATATATTAAACACTTAATGATAGAATAATTGTGTTAATAATTATCTTCCAATAATCTTTGTCTCTTTGATAAGTGTTCTTTAGAAAAGAGAATTGGTTTTGTTTTTTGTATGAATGGTTGCATGTTATAAGTTTATATGAATAATTTCTGGATATAACTTGCACTCTATCTTTAGAAATATGTATTTTGAAAAAAGCTAAATTAAAAAAAAAAATCAAATTTTCCAAGAGATGACTCTTCTAAATGGTAAACAATTCTCAACAATTCTACTCCCAAGTGCCTAAATTAATATGCTGTTTACTGTGAATTGTTTTTCTATGGCTTATCATTGCTCAAAAGTTCAGTGTAATGCGCCTTTAACTTTTATTTCTAGCCTACAACTGCTATTTTACAGGATTTTGGTCCCAATTCCACTGCTATTGATGTCATTGGTAGCTTTGCCATTCACTTCAGTGGGAGTAGGATGGAGCCCTCTCCTTTGGTGCTTTCCACAGAGCAGAGAGTTGGCTTTGGAATATGAAGTTTGCAGGATATAAAATCATAGTTGTATTGTGTTTTATTGTTCTAGGACTTTTTGATGGAAACATTCATCATGTTTAAAGATCTCATAGGAAAGAACGTTTACCCTTCGGACTGGATGGCAATGAGCATGGTGCAGAACAGGTAAATAGAGCCCTCAGAACAATTTAAAGGTTTCAGCAGTTTGAAAGGGAGGTTGGTGCTAGTGAAGTGAACATCTTATTCCATGTTTTAACACAAAAAATAGGCAGTGTTCCCTGTTCCAGATGCCTTTTCAGTTTTACTTCATATCAGAAATATTTACACTATCTGAGATAATTGACTTACATAATGCTTGGAAAAAACTACCTGTGCCCTTGGTCCACTTTTCAAAGACTGGCAAGCAAGAGGAAATGGGTTTCTAATAGACAGGTGTCAACACCACAAAGAAGAGTCAGAGGTCTCTGTGTTGACAGACTCAGTAAAGAGGCCCAGGAGTGAATAGAGGCTATCTAGGTCCAGTCTATGAGAGTGCCTTCCAATACTGTGTCTGTCATGTGTGGTTTGTTTTCCCTCTCTTTATCTCTCCAGAGGGAGAATAGTGTGTACCAGCCTCGCAAGAAAGCTCTGTCTCCTATATAATTGAGCTTTACCCTCATGATGGAAAGTTCCTTTGTTCCAGAGGAGCAGAGTTGTCAGCCATGGCCTCCATCCTAGACCTTTATGCAATATTTTAGACATACTGGACCAGGCCATTGAGGGCCCTGAAGATAAGGACCCAGACTTTGAACTTGACTTCATATTCTTTGAGAAGCCAGTGTAGAGAGTAGAGGACAGATCTGATGTGCTCGCTGTAGCCCGTGTCACTGAAGAGATGTGCTGCAGCTTTCTGTGGTGTTTCCTAAGGGTTGATGGCTTCATGCCCAGATATATTACAGGTATAATCCAGGTCGGAGATAATGAAGGCTCATATAACTAAGGCATACTGTGGTTCCATAAGACTGCTGGCTGACCTCTGGTAACCTTCTGTTGTTTTTTATGTTTTCTCTGCAATGGTTTTCACCTTAAGAGTAAATGTGCTTTCTTAGAGAGAGCTGTGTGGTAACTCTACTGGCAATTACAGTTGTTCATAGCCTTTGAAGAGAGAGCAAAGAGCAGAGGTTGGCCTGTTGAGGTATTCTGGCTTGCTGGCAGTATCACAGTATAGGCAGAGAACTGTGCAGCCTGGAAAAACCCCAGTCAGGAGGGAGGGAAATGTAGGTGAGGGGACAGCTGGGAGCAGAGGCCTAAACGTGAGTGTCCTTGGTGAACCACAGAGGGGCAATGCAGGTGCAGTTGCCCTGAATTGTGACAAAAGGGAAGATTCCTTCTGTGAATGAGGCATTATCTATTTCAGTCATAAGTGGGTACCATGACACTTTTTATCAGGCAGAAAAGGACTGAGGCTCAGGAGACTTGGGGAGGGGAGGGGAGGTCTATTCACAGCTCTGCCACTGACTGACTTGGTGACCTTGGGTAAGTCACTTAACCCTTCAGTGCCTCTTTTTCCCCCTCTCACCCTTTCTGTCTTGTCTATTTAGATTGTAAGCTCTTCAGGGCAGGCACTTTTTCATACTACATGTATATAAAGCACTTAACATGATAGGATCTCATTTGGGGTCTCCAGGAACTACTGTAGGACAAACAGCAATGGTAATGAATAAACTGATGTGCCTCCTCGCAGTTATACAAAATCCCTGTGTGCCAGGATTGAGTTACATTGGGAAGGCAATATGGGAAGGCTCAACAAGGTATCATTGTTTCTATACACTTTGGGGTATTCAGACTGACTTGTGGGCAGGAGGTTGGGGGGGAGGTTAGTATTTGTAGTCCTTGACTGCGAGAATAGGGCAAGGGGTGAGGGGAGGTAAAGGGAAATACAGCGCTGCTCTGAGTAGCTGTTAATTAATCCCTTTCACTTCTCCAGTTGTTGGATCAACATAGGAATTGGAAGATTCTTCTTTGTCTTATGTGACAGATGGACTCTTGGAATGTTTTTGTGGAGGGGCTGTTGCAGCATCGGCCCAGAGTAGGGGAACTTGTACAAAGCCAATTTTCCCTTCCATGTGTCCCATCCTGACCTATATGTTTTCTGACCAATATTTGCATGGTTTTCACCCCTTAACACCATTCTTTGGAGGGAAAGTTAAATTCCATGGTAATAAAATATTTGAAATATGTAAGCAATACCATTTTCCAAAGTTAACTTGTCCCTAAAAGCCTTAAATTTGTGTCTCCAAAGAGAGTGGAAGCTAACTAAATTATTAATTTTTGGCATCATCACACTGAGGCCACCCCCTTATGGGACTATATAATTAATAATGTAAGATGTAAACTTTACAATGTGGATTTTAAGTAGCTGTATATTGTAAGAACCATATGTCTTGTTTATAAGTGTCTCTAAACTTAGCCAGCTGAGCACCCACTAACTGCCAAACTCTGACATCATTTGAATAGATTTGCCTATGACAAAGTGTTTGGGGCAGATCCTCGCGTGTTGATGTGCTTAGCAGAATATTTACAGAATTCATACTCCAAAGCAGTGGTGCTCCAAAACATGACAAACCTAATTCCTATTTTAACTTCTAAAAACTTCTTAACTGAAATCAGTTGCAGGAAGGTACCCATTGTTAGAATAATTCCCTCATCAAAGATCAATAGTCACTAGGGAGATGGCTGGATACCTGCATTTTATCGATATCACTGGTGATAGACAGGTTCCTTTCAAACTTCCTCATTCAAGAACATCAGGACATCTGTTCCTTAAGTGTAATATCAACATATTGGCAATTTGGCACAGCTGTAATCCTGCTCATTTGTGCTTCATGTTATTTAAGGGGATCGACAGATTTTCTTGAGATGAGTACTCAGGATTTTACCTGAAGTCTATCATTGTTCTTAGAACGTCTCCAGGTGCTTTTAGTTTGTCTTAAAAAAAGAAGGCAGGAAAATACAATATCTCCATTCTTTAGACATGTAATGGGCTGATCCTGATTCCATTTGCCATTCAAATCAATGGAAACAGGACTGGACATTCACAGTGATTAAAATTTCTGTAAATGACTAAGCCAGTTGTGTTAGAACAATACACTCTTAAATGTCAAAATAATCACATTGTTAATTTCTTTCAGACTTATGTCCGGTATAGAAATATTTTACTTGTGGGGACATTGTCATGAACAAATCAGAGTTTAATAAGCTGCTTTTTTAACTTATTGTAGTTCTCTGAAATATTTCATATTGTTGGAATGGAAATAGTATGTGTGTGTGCCAAAGATACGCACAGTGTATACTCATATCTTCAGAATTGTTGTATTACAATTTGTGTGCACAATTGCCATTCATGCTCAACCATAACCATGACCAATACTGACCATTTTTAATGCAAATTGCTGTTAGTGTGGGTGAGTCAGCACCGCAGAATTAGCCAATGGTGATCAGCATCCAAGGACGCCTAGTCCGGGTATAAGCATCCCCACTGCAAAGCTCTACCTGTGTCACTGTGTCCTCACTGTTTCTGCACTCACCTGTGTGTGTCTGAGGGCAAAGCCCATGGTTGTTTGTGCTGGGACATACTGATTCTTTCCCAGTCAATTTTGGGACAATTTGTCTGTCTTTCAGGGGACAATATGAAAAGGCACTGGAGGACTATCAGTACTCCAATGATTTAGTCTTCATCACTCACTGCAATACGTGGGTGGGTTGCAGACCAAGTTAAAGCAGAGACTGGGCTCTATGTATCTTCCCCTCCCCCCCGCAACTGAATAAGGTAGCTCAGGCTTAAAGCACCTCCAAACCCGGGCAAAATGTTTGTATGTAGATGAGGCAGGACAGGGGTTGGGCTAAAACTTGGGTAAGAGTCTGGCATTACCTCTGCAGTGACGGTGCACCCAAAAAGTGTTTTGAGAACATCTAGAATGAACCAGGCAATACAAATTATTGATTGTTACCTTCCTCAGTTTTTGTCACAAATTGGCAGTCTTGGCCTTTCTCAAGCCCACTGTGTTAACCTAGCTAATCACTTGAGTACTCCTCCTTGTCAAGCATGAGCTCCTTCAACTGAGCCTGAGGACCAGCTAGCTCAGCCTCCAGCCAGATTAATGAGCTCAGCTGGGTTAGGGTATGACCCCCTGATTGACTGGACTGCCTGACTGGTTGAAGGAAGCCCCTAGGCCTGCTTTTAAGGTCATTGAGCAGCGGCAGGTCATTGGCTGCTCAGTGTGTGTGCCTGCAGCTGCAATCACTCTTGTGCCTTCCTGGTTCCCAGCTAGGGTGACCAGACAGCAAGTGTGAAAAATCGGGATGGGGATGGGGGTAATAGGCACCTATATAAGACAAAGTCCTGAATATCAGGACTGTCCCTATAAAATCGGGACATCTGGTCACCCTATTCCCAGCCTTGACACTTCCTTGTCCCTGTCCTACTCCAGTCCACTCCAGTCTTGCTTCTGACTCTGGCTCCAACCCATCACTCTGGTTTCTGGCTCCCAACTCCTGCTCTAACCACTAAGCCTGATTCTTGTTCCAGCCATTAGGCCTGACCACCCACGCCCCAGTCATGACACTCCCGCACTCCTAGTGCTATAGCTGGACTTCTCAGAACTGCACAGATCCAGGAAATGAAAATGGAAATCACTTTCTGTACTGTGTTTGAGAGGAGAGGCTGGTATAAACAATGTATCTGATTTTTTAAAAGTATATCTTAAGGCAAGAAAAAATACTTAACAATGCACAAGATGACAATAGGCGCCTTAGGAAAACCTAGCTAGGTAGAAAACATGACTAGAAGGTGTAGAAGCATGCTAATTTTTTTTCTTAGTTGTTCTAGATATCAGACACATTAGTACTTCCGGGTCTGTCTAGTCTACCGACTGCACACACACACACACATTTAACATTCAAAACATCATTTGAAAGATATAATGTTAGAAAATGTGTTTACAATAAAGCAAAAAAGGAAGGAAGGGGGAGAATGTATGAGAAACAGATGGCATTTGTGTTGTAGTGTGTGGTTTGCCTAATACCATCTTGGTTTTCTCAGGTTTGAAACTCCTCTTGTCCCATTGGGAGAGTTTCAGTTAGGGTTGACAACCCTCCAGGATTGGCCTGGAGTCCCCAGGAATTAA